ATCACTCGCTCTCCTCACTCTCCTCACTCTCCTCACTCTCATCACTCACTCTCCTCACTCACTCTCCTCACTCACTCTCCTCACTCTCCTCACTCACTCTCCTCACTCTCCTCACTCACTCTCCTCACTCACTCTCCTCACTCTCCTCACTCACTCTCCTCACTCAATCTCCACACTCTCCTCACTCTCCTCACTCTCATCACTCACTCTCCTCACTCCCTCTCCTCACTCACTCTCCTCACTCTCCTCACTCCCTCTCCTCACTCACTCTCCTCACTCTTCTCACTCACTCTCCTCACTCACACTCACTCTCCTCACTCACTCTCATCACTCACTCTCCTCACTCTCATCACTCACTCTCCTCACTCTCCTCACTCTTCTCACTCACTCTCCTCACTCAATCTCCACACTCTCCTCACTCTCATCACTCACTCTCCTCACTCCCTCTCCTCACTCACTCTCCTCACTCTCCTCACTCACTCTCCACACTCTCCTCACTCTCCACACTCTCCTCACTCACTCTCCTCACTCACTCTCCTCACTCACTCTCCTCACTCTCATCACTCACTCTCCTCACTCACTCTCCACACTCTCCGCACTCTCCACACTCTCCTCACTCACTCTCCTCACTCTCCTCACTCTCCACACTCTCCTCACTCACTCTCCTCACTCTCCTCACTCACTCTCCTCACTCTTATCACACACTCTCCTCACTCACTCTTATCACACACTCTCCTCACTCACTCTCATTCACACTCTCACTCACTCTCCTCACTCTCCTCACTCCCTCTCCTCACTCACTCTCACTCTCCTCACTCCCTCTCCTCACTCACTCTCCTCACTCTCCTCACTCACTCTCCTCACTCTCCTCACTCTCCACACTCTCCTCAATCACTCTCCTCACTCTCCTATCTCTCCTCACTCCACTCACTCCCCTCACTCTCCTCATTCTCATCACACACTCCTCACTCCACTCACTCTCCTCACTCACTCTCCTCACTCCACTCACTCCACTCACTCCCCTCACTCTCCTCATTCTCATCACACACTCCTCACTCCACTCACTCTCCTCACTCTCCTCATTCTCATCACACACTCCTCACTCCACTCACTCTCCTCACTCACTCCCCTCACTCTCCTCACTCCACTCACTCCCCTCACTCTCCTCATTCTCATCACACACTCCTCACTCCACTCACTCTCCTCACTCACTCTCCTCACTCCACTCACTCCACTCACTCCCCTCACTCTCCTCATTCTCATCACACACTCCTCACTCCACTCACTCTCCTCACTCTCCTCATTCTCATCACACACTCCTCACTCCACTCACTCCCCTCACTCTCCTCATTCTCATCACACACTCCTCACTCCACTCACTCTCCTCACTCACTCCCCTCACTCTCCTCACTCCACTCACTCCCCTCACTCTCCTCATTCTCATCACACACTCCTCACTCACCTTACTCACTCTCCTCACTCACTCTCCTCACTCTCCCATATTTTCCTCTCCCCCCTCTCTCCTCTCACACTCAGAGCCTCTCCCCTCCCTCCCTCGCCTCCCCCCCTGTCTCTCGTCACTCTCACCGCTCTCCTCCCTCTGCCTCCACTCCCCGGGTCTGCAGCTCTCTCCCCTCTCGCTCTCTCGCTCACTCTCCCGCATTCCTCTCCGTTCCCTCCCTCACCTCCCCCTCACCTCTCACTCACCACTCCCTCACCTCCCCCTCACCTCCCCCTCACCTCTCACTCACCACTCCCTCACCTCCCCCTCACCTCCCCCTCACCACTCCCTCACCTCCCCCTCACCTCTCACTCACCACCCTCTCACCTCTCCCTCACCTCCCCCTCACCTCTCACTCACCACTCCCTCACCTCCCCCTCACCTCCCCCTCACCACTCCCTCACCTCCCCCTCACTTCTCCCTCACCACTCCCTCACCCCCCCTCACCCCTCCCTCACCTCCCCCTCACCCATCCCCCTCACCCCTCCCTCACCTCCCCCTCACCCCTCCCTCACCCCTCCCTCACCTTCCCCTCACCTCTCACTCACCGCTCCCTCACCTCTCACTCACCCCTCACTCACCCCCCTCTCACCTCTCCCTCACCTCTCCCTCACCTCTCACTCACCACTCCCTCACCTCCCCCTCACCTCCCCCTCACCTCTCACTCACCACTCCCTCACCTCCCCCTCACCCCCCCCCTCACCTCCCCCTCACCTCCCCCTCACCTCCCCCTCACCACTCCCTCACCTCCCCCTCACCTCTCACTCACCTCTCACTCACCTCTCACTCACCTCTCACTCACCACTCCCTCACCTCTCACTCACCTCACCCCCCCCCCCTCACCTCCCCCTCACCACTCCCTCACCTCCCCCTCACCTCTCACTCACCACTCCCTCACCTCCCCCTCACCCCCCCTCACCTCCCCCTCACCTCCCCGTCACCTCCCCCTCACCACTCCCTCACCTCCCCTCACCTCCCCCTCACCTCTCACTCACCACTCTCTCACCTCCCCCTCACCTCCCCCTCACCTGACCCCTCCCTCACCTCCCCCTCACCTCCCCCTCACCTCTCACTCACCCCTCCCTCACCTCTCACTCACCTCCCCCTCACCACTCCCTCACCTCCCCCTCACCTCTCACTCACCACTCTCTCACCTCCCCCTCACCTCCCCCTCACCTCACCCCTCCCTCACCTCCCCCTCACCTCCCCCTCACCTCTCACTCACCCCTCCCTCACCTCTCACTCACCTCCCCCTCACCTCCCCCTCACCTCTCACTCACCACCCTCTCACCTCTCCCTCACCTCCCCCTCACCTCCCCCTCACCTCTCACTCACCCCTCCCTCACCTCTCACTCACCTCCCCCTCACCTCCCCCTCACCTCTCACTCACTCACCACTCCCTCGCCCCCCCCCTCACCCCTCCCTCACCTCCCCCTTACCTCTCACTCACCTCCCCCTCACCCCTCCCTCACCCCCCTTACCTCCCCCTCACCACTCCCTCACCCTCCCTCACCTTCCCCTCACCTCTCACTCACCACTCCCTCACCTCTCACTCACCTCTCACTCACCACCCTCTCACCTCTCCCTCACCTCTCCCTCACCTCTCACTCACCACTCCCTCACCTCCCCCTCACCTCCCCCTCACCTCTCACTCACCACTCCCTCACCTCCCCCTCACCCCCCCCTCACCTCCCCCTCACCTCCCCCTCACCACTCTCTCACCTCCCCCTCACCTCTCACTCACCTCTCACTCAGCTCTCACTCACCACTCCCTCACCTCTCACTCACCTCCCTCTCACCCCCCCCTCACCTCCCCCTCACCACTCCCTCACCTCCCCCTCACCTCTCACTCACCTCTCACTCACCACTCCCTCACCTCCCCCTCACCCCCCCTCACCTCCCCCTCACCTCCCCGTCACCTCCCCCTCACCACTCCCTCACCTCCCCTCACCTCCCCCTCACCTCTCACTCACCACTCTCTCACCTCTCACTCACCTCCCCCCTCACCTCCCCCTCACCTCCCCCTCACCTCTCACTCACCACTCTCTCACCTCCCCCTCACCTCCCCCTCACCTCACCCCTCCCTCACCTCCCCCTCACCTCTCACTCACCCCTCCCTCACCTCTCACTCACCTCCCCCTCACCACTCCCTCACCTCCCCCTCACCTCCCCCTCACCTCTCACTCACCACTCTCTCACCTCCCCCTCACCTCACCCCTCCCTCACCTCCCCCTCACCTCCCCCTCACCTCTCACTCACCCCTCCCTCACCTCTCACTCACTTCCCCCTCACCTCCCCCTCACCTCTCACTCACCACTCCCTCGCCCCCCCCTCACCCCTCCCTCACCTCCCCCTTACCTCTCACTCACCCCCCCCTCACCCCTCCCTCACCTCCCCCTTACCTCTCACTCACGTCTCACTCACCCCTCCCTCACCCCCCCCTCACCCCTCCCTCACCCCTCCCTCACCTCTCCTCTACACATCCCGCGCGACTCTCTCCGCTCACTCTCCGTGTCGCACTCTCACACACGGAGCTCTGCCTACCGCTCCACTCCGCCAAAGGCAAAGATCCCCCGTGTAGCCTTCACAGACTGTTGGGAGCAAGTGCTGCTGGCGAGTGGCGCCTGTGAAGGCCGGCACGGCTCACGAGGGGGTGGGTGGCCAGCACCACGCCCGCTCGACCGCCTTTGTCTTCCCTGTAGTAATGTTTACACACCGCTCCAGGTACTTATTTTGAGGCTGAGTCGACCTAGTGGGGGTGGGGTGGGGGAGGCCCAGGATCGGCTAAGATAATCATGACTGGGATTGGTGACCGGGAGCGGAAATCGAACTCGGGTCGCCCGGTTCGTAGTGGAGTGGGCTAACTGCTGCGCCACCGCTCCACTCTATCGCACGCCCTCTCCCACTCGCACCCCCCCCAATACCCCCCCTCACTCTCTCCCACATACCTCCACACACTCCCACACACCCCCTCACTCTCTCCCACATACCTCCACACTCCCCCACTCTCACACACTCCCACACACTCCCACACACTCCCCTCGCTCTCTCCACACACTCCCACACACTCCCCCCCCCCTCTCACACTCTCCCACCCTCACCCCTCACTCACTCTCTCTCCCACATACTTCCACACACTCCCCCCCTCTCACACTCTCCCACCCCCCCCACACTCTTCCACACACTCACCCCCACTCACTCTCCCACATACCTCCACCTCCCCCACTCTCACACTCTCCCACACACTCACCCCTCCCACACTCTTCCACACACTCACCCCCACTCACTCGATCCCTCCCACACTCCCCCCACCCTCTCCCACATCCTCTCCCTCGCCCTCACCCCTCTCACTCACTTTCTCTCACTCACACTCTCACTCATCTCACACACTCTCACCCATCTCACTCACTTCCTCTCACTCACACTCTCACTCATCTCACTCACACTCTCACCCCCTCTCCCTCACTCACCCCTCACTCTCTCTCGCTCTTTCCCCATAGATCCAATGTTTGGGCTGATGACGTCACGACGCGTGTGCCGGTACATCCCCCCCTCCCTCCAACCCCTCTCCCCAACCCCTCCCCCCAACCTTCCCCCCCTCCTCCCAACCCCTCCCCCCCTCCCCCAACCCCTCCCCCCCTCCCCCAACCCCTCCCCCCCCTCCCCCCAACCCCTCCCCCCCTCCCCCCAACCCCTCCCCCCCTCCCCCCAACCCCTCCCCCCCCTCCCCCCAACCCCTCCCCCCCCTCCCCCCAACCCCTCCCCCCCCTCCACCCCAACCCCTCCCCCCCTCCCCCCAACCCCTCCCCCCCCTCCCCCCAACCCCTCCCCCCCCTCCCCCCAACCCCTCCCCCCCCTCCCCCCAACCCCTCCCCCCCCTCCCCCCAACCCCTCCCCCCCCTCCCCCCAACCCCTCCCCCCAACCCCTCCCCCCAACCCCTCCCTCCCCCCAACCCCTCCCCCCAACCCCTCCCTCCCCCCAACCCCTCCCCCAACCCCTCCCCCCCCTCCCCCCAACCCCTCCCCCCCTCCCCCAACCCCTCCCTCCCCCCAACCCCTCCCCCCAACCCCTCCCTCCCCCCAACCCCTCCCCCCAACCCCTCCACCCCCTCCCCCCAACCCTCCACCCCCTCCCCCCAACCCCTCCCCCCCCTCCCCCCAACCCCTCCCCCCCTCCCCCCAACCCCTCCCCCCCCCTCCCCCCCAACCCCTCCCTCCCCCCAACCCCTCCCCCCAACCCCTCCCTCCCCCCAACCCCTCCCTCCCCTCCCCCCAACCCCTTCCCCCAACCCCTCCATCTCCATCCACTCTCCCTTCACTCCCCCCATCTGCCCCCCATCTCCCCTCACTCCCCCCATCTCCCCCCATCCGACCCCCCAACTCCCCTCCATCTACCTCCCCCCATCTCCCCCCACCCCCACTCTACAAATATAAACACTCATAACGAGTCACCCGTAGCGACGCACCACGTGACTTGGCGCTGATTACCCCGGGGAGGTGGAGGGGGGGAAGAGTTGGAGGGGGTGGGGGGGTGGGGGCTGTAATTGCTCACAATTATCCCGGCTTTCCGTGTTAATTTAATGTGATTTTAGCGCCGCGCGTGCGTGATTGTGTGCGCGCGCGTGCACGCTGATATTTATTTATTTACACACCCAACACACGCACACAGACAAAGATCCCCCGTGTAGCCTTTATCGAACTGTTGGGGCCAAGTGCTCTTAGCGAGGAGCACCTATGTCGGCAGGTAGGGAGGTGTGTGTGTGTCCGTGCAGGAGCGGTGGGGTAGTGGTTAGCGCACTGCGTGGCGAACCCGGCGAGTTCGATTCCCGCTTACGGTGACCAACACCCGTGGCTGATTATATCCGAGCCAGCCCCAAGTCTCCTCCAGGGTGACTCAGCCTCAAATGAGTGCCTGGTGCGATGTGTAATCATCGCCGCTGTGGAAGACAAAGGCGGCCGGGCGTGGTGCTGGCCATCACTACCGCACACTTCCCGCGCCGTGGCTGCCTTTAGAGGTGCACACTAACGAGCACTTGCCCCAGCAACCTGTTCAAGGCTATACGGGGGATCTTTGTCTTTGTGTTTGCTGCACAGGCCATCCACAATATCACGGCACTGTCATTCCTCGTTTCGTTAAAATGAATTCAAGAGATTTATTTAAATGTATTTAAATTTATGACGACATTCTCTCAATCACTGGCCTCCTCTCAACAGCTCCCGCGAGTCGTTCCGACCCATCACCGGTCCGTGACATTCCGGACATCTGCGGACAAAGAGCGTGGAAGCTCATCGGATCCTGCGGCGCAAGGAAATGTTCTGATCCTCAGATTCTCGCCCTCGCGAAGCTTCAGGCTCGCTCCTTGCAGGCCACCGGCAATGGGTCAAGAGGTCATCGCAGTGACCATCGCCAGTGAGTGTGTAGGTTGTAGTCCTTGCACGCACCTCCAATTAGCACGGTTGCCTACGTACGGTACGAAAGAAGTTCAACATACATACAAGATGCATACGTACAAAGTTTTAACAAGAAGTGACATTTTTACGTTTTGAGAGAAAATGATTAAATTAATATTGTCGAGAGGCGAATGGCTTGGTTCACGGATTACGATGAAGATCGGGTACACGGCGCTGGGCACGTTGTGATGTTCAGCCTTGAAGTGCCATCGTGTCCAGGGGCTGCGTGGTGGTGTTCTCTTGGTCTGATCTGGGGCTGTTGCTGTTGCTGTTTTGCTGCCTTGCCAAAGTTCAGCATACATACAACATGCATACAACATGCATGCAACATACAACATACACGCAAAATACATACACACATTTTATTCCTCGCCAACACGCGCGGGTTTTTTTCTTTCCGGGTGCTGCCGGTTACTGGCCAACAACAACTTCATATATAGAGGACCGCAGAGCTTGGAGGGAGGGGGGATTTGGTGCCAGCTCCTGATCGCGTGGCTGCTGCTGCTGCTGCTGCTGAATCTCCCCGCTCGTCTGTGGTTCCTCCTCCTCGTGGTTGCGAGCAGCCGGGCAACCGGTTGCAGGCAGCCACGCAACCGGTTGCAAGAGGGAGAGACGGAGACTCTACTTGCAAGCGGTGTGCCGATCTGCTCGGCGATTTGCAAGCGACGCGCTTTACCGTCACGTGACACGTTTTCCAAAGTTGCGCAACTACTCGCTCAGATGCGGACAAAGCAGTTGCGGCGCGATGATGAAGTTGCGCGATTTGGACTGCGATTTTTCGGCAGCATTGCCTGTGCTGAACCAATGCTGCTGAAAATAAACTTACGGAAGGCCGTTTGACTGATGGGATGTGTAAAAAAGATACTTGATTTGTTTCGTTTATATGTGCAGGGGAAATATATGGGAAGGATGATGGTGAAGCAGAGCCCACATCTGGTCCAGTCTGCCACGTCGAACCGAGAGAGGGCCCTTGCCTATAGACATCTGGGCAGTTCACCAGCATCAGTTCAAGCGAGCCTGACTACTTGATGAGGCACTGAATGTCGAAACCCGTCCACAGATTCGCTCGTATTGAACCAATGCTACCGACAAGCAAACGCACTCCCAGAAAGATGTGACTATGAGGTGTGAATACCCTGCTTAGTCATACAGTAGCCATGGTCACTAACACAGTGACCATGACTCACTAACACACAAGGGGCTTGCTGTGAGCTTACTGACATGGTGAGCAGCTAGAGTAGGGATCTGCATAGGTTAGTTGGTAGGTATGTGGGTGAGCAGGTAGGTATAGAGGTGGGTGGGTAGGCAACTAAGCAGGTAGGCAGACACGCAGTCAGGTAGGCAGTTAGCCTCTATAACCAGACACGGGTCCATTGAGACCAATAATTGTCTTCTGCAGAGGATGTCCCGGGCCGAATGCACCGATCCAGGGAGCCGGGTGGATATAAAATATCCCTCCCCCCTCCCACCCACCCAGCGCCCACCCTCGTCCCCTCCCCGTGACTCCGTGTGACTCCCGGTCACGCGTCGCGGTAATGAGAAGCGCGGTAATTGGTTGAATATTAAGTACCTCATTAACACCACACGTGACCTCCCACTAACGAGAGAGATGGAAGAGTGGAGGAGAGAAAGTGTGGGAGGCGAGAGACGGAGACGGGGAGGGAGAGGTAGGGAAATGGTGGTGGACGAGAGGTGGGGGAGAAATGAGGGGGAGAGTTCGGACAGAGAGAGAGAGATAGCAGGCGGGGGAGATGGGAGTGGGAGAAGGAAGATGGGGGAGTGATCGAAGACGAATGAGATGGGAGAGCGTGCAGAGAGTGCAGTGGAGAGACGAGAGAGATGGGAAGGGGGGAGAGTGACGAGAGAGTGACATCGAGCGATGGGAGAGGAGGAGTGAGGGCTGATGGAGAGCGCTCGCAGCGAGAGAGAGACGGGGGAGACGTGGGATGAGAGAGAGACGGGGAGACGTGGGATGAGCGAGAGACGTGGGATGAGAGAGAGACGGGGGAGACGTGGGATGAGAGAGAGACGGGGAGACGTGGGATGAGAGAGAGACGTGGGATGAGCGAGAGGGCAGAGCGAGCAAACGCGCGGGTGATGTAGGAACACGGAACGAGGGGGAAGGATAAAGTTATTACAAACATCGCCACCTACAAACATCGCGACAGGCAAACAGCAAGGCGCTTTATCAAAGTCCAGGGCTGCCTATGTAAGTCGAGTGGTGGCTAAGCAAGAATATGGGTCTCTAACGAAGTCTATGGGTCTCTAACGATGTCTATGGGTCTCTAACGATGTCTATGGGTCTCTGTGTAAGTCTATGGGTCTCTGTGTAAGTCTATGGGTCTCTAACGATGTCTATGGGTCTCTGTGTAAGTCTATGGGTCTCTGTGTAAGTCTATGGGTCTCTGTGTAAGTCTATGGGTATCTGTGTAAGTCTATAGGTCTCTATGTCTATGGGTCTCTGTGTATGTCTATGGGTCTCTGTGTATGTCTATGGGTCTCTGTGTATGTCTATGGGTCTCTGTGTATGTCTATGGGTCTCTGTGTAAGTCTATGGGTCTCTGTGTAAGTCTATGGGTCTCTGTGTATGTCTATGGGTCTCTGTGTAAGTCTATGGGTCTCTGTGTATGTCTATGGGTCTCTGTGTAAGTCTATGGGTCTCTGTGTAAGTCTATGGGTCTCTGTAAGTGCAGTAGCGGAGCGCGGTTGGCATGGATCCTGGTGCCAGGAATGAAGAGAGAGAGAGTGAGTGGTGAGGAATGGGGAGAGTGAGTGAGTGGTGAGGGTGAGGAATGGGGAGAGTGAGTGAGTGGTGAGGGTGATGAATGGGGTGAGTGAGTGAGTGAGTGGTGAGGGTGAGGAATGGGGAGAGACACGAGGGGGGGGGTGGAAGAGGGAGACGCGACACGAGAGAATGAATGAGAGAGGGGGAGTCAGTAGTGAGAGAGGGACGGAGAGAGTGAAGGGAGAGGTGAAAGTGGAGAGGGGGAGAGTAGTCGTGTTGGAAATGGGAGGGAGATGGGGAGGGGAGACGGGAGGGAGATGGGGAGGGAGACGGGAGGGAGATGGGAGGGAGATGGGGAGGGAAACCGAGAGTGGGAGACAGGAGAGGGAGAGGAGAGAGAATGGAGAGGGGAGATCGTGGAGGTGGAGGGATAGAGGGAGAGACAGAAGATGGGGGGCGAGAGGGGGAGGGGAGGGAATGGCGAGAGGGGAGGGGCGGTGTGGGAGGGGGGAGGAAGTGGGGGGAGGGAGAAGCCCCCCCGTGGTGTCACCCCTCGCCGCCCCGTGTTGACTTGACGAAGATGGATGACGCTGAGAGAGGGAGGAGGAGGCGCGTGGAGCACGAGGCGGGTTTACTCCGCACACGTGGACACACAAAGACCAAGAAGCCCCGCGTAGACTTCACGCACTGTTGGGGCAAGTGCTGCTCGAAGCGAGTGACGCCGATGAAGGCCGGCACTGTGGCACACGTGGGCATGGGTCGTCAACACCAACCCCGGCCGCCTCTGCCGAGTTGAGATGTTGACTACTCACCGCACGAGTCGACTTAGGAGAGGCCCAGGACCGGTTCAGATAATCGTCACTCACCCACCCACCCACTCATTCACCCACTCACCCACACACTCAACCACCCACTAACCCACTCACCCACTCACCCCACCCACTCACCCACCTACTCAACCACCCAATCACCCACCCACTCACCCACCTACTCACCACTCACCCACTCACAGACCCAGATGACTGGCAGTGGCACCAGATGTGCCCCCTACTCCTCTGCTGGAGAGCGACTGCCTCCAACTGCCCAGTAGCAGCAGCAGCAGCGTCCTACACGAGCCTCCTCCACAGAGGCCGATCTGGACACCACTGGTACCGGTCATCGGCAAGTCCACTCAGCTCCACATTCCCCCGTACCGCATCACTCCATCTCTTCTCCAGCCCGTATCGCACCCGTGTAGCCCCCCTCTATTCGTCCAAAAATAAGCTGCTTGGGCCCGCAGCGGCAGGGCATGCGGGCCACGTGACCCGGCCAACGTCGCCTCCTCGCCTGCTGGGAGCTCACCGATGGGAATGTGTCCGGATTCTTGTACCAATCGGTCCCCGCAAGTTCCACTCACACACTCACTCGCCCATTGACTCACACACTCGCCCACACACTCACCAACTCACTCACTTGCACACTCACTCGTACACTCACTAACACACTCACCCACCACACTGCAGGTCACTCACTTATCTCTCTGATCCACCCCTCTCATCACCATCATCACAGCCACCATCGTCTCTTCACCCCACAAAATTCTCTCTCTCTTCAAGACACGAGTGACTACACTATATTTACTATTACAACTTCACCGTTAGGACCGTTGTGGAGAACATGAGAATCAGATTGTGTATTTGAATTGGAGAAATCCGATGAGCTGTACAGCTTTTTCACAGATGTCCAGTAATATCAAGAGCAGTAAAGTCTTCTATAATAAATGTTGGTCCCTCCACATAGCACATCCGGTCGGACTCGCGGTCTCCGAATTAAAACAATCTGAAATTAAGGCCCCAATGCTGCTGGACGGGATTCGCTCCCAGAAGGCCGTGGGGCCGATGCATTACGAACACGGCCACCCCCACACGCACAAAGACAAAGATCCCCCGCGAAGCCTTAACAGACTGTTGGGGCAAGTGCTGTTCGCGGCGCACGAGGGGTGTGGATGACCAGCACCCACGCCGAGTGGCGATGTTGACTCATTTGAGGCTGAGTCGACCTAGAGGGGAGCAGGAGGCCCAGGGCCAAGTTCATATGATGGCCACTGGTGTGGGCCACACACGCGCACACAGCGGTGGCTGTAAATCTGTCCGCCTGTTGCGCCCCTTGGTGAGACAACGATCAGCTGTGATTAGAGGATGGCGTCAATCTGCCTCGGCCCATTGACGGATGCGAGTGGAGACCCCCGCGGACAGGAAGCTCGGCTGACACAGACAAAGGTCCCCCGGGTAGCCCACACGGACCGATGGGGCGGCCAAGGGCTGGTATCGAGCTGCTACGCCTTTGTCTCCCCTGGTACTCATTTGAGGCTGAGTCGACCTAGGCAGTACAAAGACAACCACCGGACCACTCTGCGACCCCCTGGCGGTTGCTGGGCCAACGTCTCGATGGCGATTTCCTGATAGCGAAAATCGAATTCGTTCAAATCGCTCCTCCTGCTCCTCTCCTCCCATCCCGTCTCGCTCCATCCCCACGCGGCCTGACCGCCGCCTCCCCTTTCACCCCACGCCGACAGCCACGAGGAGGGGGCCGGCTGGGGGCACGGGGCGGGCGGTGCGGCATGCCATGAAGAAGGGTAATTGCCCGAAACGTCACCTATTATATATTATTTTCCATGTTAAGGCCGCACGGTTGAGTCCGCTGTTACTAACGCAGTGGACGCACGGCGCACGAGGGGCCGGGTAGCCAACACCACGCCCGGCCGCCTTTGCCTTCCCAGTGGTGCACCAGAAACGTATTTAAGGCTGAGCCGACCTAGGGGAGAGTCCCAGGACCGTGTCAGATAATCATCACCGATGGTCGATGGCCGTGAGCGGAAATCAAAGTTGGGATCGCTGGGTTGGTATCGCAGCGCGCTAACCATTGCGCCACCGCTCCCCAAAGAAAAAAGATCCCCGTATAGCCTTAACAGACTGTTGGGGCAAGTGCTGTTAGCGAGTAAGCACCTATTGAAGGCCGGCGCTGTGGAATACGAGGGGATGGGTGGACAGCACCACCCCCCCGACCGCCTTTGTCGCCCCTAGTGGTGATGTTTAACCACCGCAGCAGGTGCTCATAAGAGGCTGAGTCGACGACCCAGGACCGGTTCAGATAATCGTCACCGATGTTGTTCACCGTGAGGGGGACTCGAACTCGGGTCGCCGGTTGGTATGCAGCGCGCTAACCCCGACACCACATACATACACACACTTACACACATACACACAATCACACACATTC